AATTGGGTATTCGTTTTGGGGGGGGGGGATTTCGGGTTTGGGTCGGGTTCGGGTCTTCAGTTTAAAGCCCGTGCAGACCTCTAATGCTGATTAATTAATCAGATTCTTCACGATTAATTGCATATCAGTATTTGTTGAGATAAACTCAAAATGAATATACTTCAAAGATGTTATTCTTTTATTGCTTTTTGAATAATGAATCATGTTAAATTAACCCTAGTGGATTGCTTTTGATTAGTGGAAATAACCACCAGTTGAAGTAATTCCTACTCATTTTCTAAAACATAAACCTCAATTGGGTTTTGCAGCGGGTCTCTACAGTACATCTCGACAATAATGACTTGATGACCGCCCATGGGACGGGTGACCCTCTGGAGTTATTAGTGTCCACTGATGCCGGGTCCATTGACCCTTCATAAAATCAGCTTAATCGTAATGAATTATCCACTTTGAAGAAACATGAAAAAGAGTTAATTAGAGTTCCTCAACCTCCCAATCTAAGTACACTAGTGGTAATGAAAGCTTATTTCGAGACCCCTGCCAGGCCATCCTATCAACTAGCCAATTAAACTGTGAAGAATTAAGCAAAACTAAATCAACATGGCTTTTGGCAAACTGCCTTGCAGTTGGAATCTCCCAACTGGTTTTAGCAAAGGGGTTTGTGTGGTGAAATTGAGTGGAAGCTTAACGGTACGCATGGTTAGACTTTCTCTGATGAAACACAATCTGTCACACTGTGAGGTGCCATTATTTATATCACATCCACACAAAGAGGACTATTATTATAGATGTAAATTTTTGGTAATGCCCATCAGAACTGCGAGCAAATGCATGCGGCTATAGTTGTTAGCCAAAAACTCTATTTGACATCTATTTGATCAGATAAGCAGAGATAATTAATGCTGGAGCAGAACGCTTGCACCCCTAAATTTAATTCTGAATCAATATGCTCCATCAAAAACCATCTGGCATGTTCCTCATTCCCCCCCCCAGTTGTTGTTTGCTCAAGCTGGGCTCTCTTAATCAACACCTGTCCTATTTTTCCCACCATGGTGGCAGGGCTAATGTGATCACGACTACAAGCGTGTTCCTGTTAATGGTTGGGTCTCCGGAGCTGTGGGACATCCTCCCGCCCCACAGCCTGGAAACTCCCAGAAGGAGTCGTGTGATGTATATCTGTGTCCGTCACCATGACACCTGCATTAACACTCACAGGATCTGGGCTAAACTGGCTGCTTGGGGGATTATTTAAAGCATGTGTCCTCTACCTACACATTAGCTTTAGTCCCCTCATAGAGACTTTCCAGTGGTCGTCAGAGTTTGTTTTTGTCCCTTGTTTTTAATTGTTAGCCAATGGTTTGATCCTTGTGTAAGATGCATTTGTCTAAAGGACTGGTGGCCAAAAATGATGCATGTTTTGTGATGACTGATAATAGTGGTGAATATTTTGACAGCTGGATGGCTGAAATTTTAGGATGCATGAAATATCAGTACCATACCATATTAGAAATTTTGGTTACACTTTATTTTAAGGTCCAATTCTCGCTATTAACAAACCATTAACGAAGACTTTTGCCTCATTAAACTCCTAATTTGCTGCTTATTAAAAGTTAGTAAGCTAGTTGTAAAGTTTAGGTATTGGGTAGGATTAGGGATGTAGAATATGGTCTTAAAGAATATGTGATTTATAAGTACTAATAAACAGCCAATATGTTATTTAATAAGCATGGCAATACGCAACTAGTTAATAATGAAAATTGGTCCCTATACTAAAGTGTTACCGAAATGTATTTTAATGTATTTTATCGGTCAATATTGGATATTTAATAATGCATGTAAATTTTGTCCTGATTTTACGTTTTGATTACCTTTGCGATTATCTTTAGGACATCTCAAAATAAATATTTATAAAATTGTTCATACTGTACATTATAATAATGCGATGCCTAAATTCACTTGTATAATTTAAAACTGTTAATGTTAGTTTTTCAGTGTTTTATTTTGGGATCAGTATGATTTGTTCTATTTCAAAAAATGCTGTTCTTTTAAATGTACTATTAAAATAGAAATAATTAAAAATAAATGCAGCCTTCTTTCACAAATATTAATATACACATAAACATACAACACACTCACTTATAATATAATGTATACAATACATGGCAGCACACAAATATATACTATATATCGAATATATATAATCTGTAAGCAAATGCTTTATACCAGGGCTGCCCAAACTCGGTCCTGGAGGGCCGGTGTCCTGCAGAGTTTAGCTCCAACTTGCCTCAACACACCTGCCTTTAAGTTTCTAGTATGCCTAGTAAGAGCTTGATTAGCTGGTTCAGGTGTGTTTAATTGGGGTTGGAGCTAAACTCTTCAGGACACCGGCCCTCCAGGACCGAGTTTGGACACCCCTGCTTTATACTTTACCCTCTGTATTTGTTGTCAGGTGATTGTAAGGTCAGGAGCTGGCACATTTTTTGGACTTGCTATCCACGGAAACTACATTTTTTGGTCTGACTGGACTCGGCGGGCTGTGCTGCGAACCAACAAGTTCACAGGAGGAGATACTAAAGTTCTCAGGGCTGATATTCCCCACCAGCCAATGGGAATTATAGCAGTTGCCAAAGACACTAATAATTGTAAGTATTCCAAAATAAATGTTTGGGCTCTGAGAGTGGCCTCTAAAACTTTCATATATGTGTTGCCTGCATTGAATTCAGAGTTAAGCTTTCGCTGGCGGTGGCTCTTTTTGATTTCCAAGGAATAGTAGGAATGATAAATTAGAGTGGACTTATTTAGTAACCAAGCAAACTAAATTGGTGACATAATTAATTTTAAAAAGTATCCTTGAGTCACAGAGGACGCTCTGAACTGTCACAAATATGAAAAGTAGGACATCGGGAAATCGGTTTAAGAGACTCCCGACGGTTTCTGTTTGGGAGCCTGCTGTGAGGGGTTTTCTCCTCTCATTTGTTTGATCATGCCATATGATTGCAGCTGTCTGCCCCTAAGCATTTTTACCTAAGGAATGTTACCAGTCAACACCGCCAGACAGATGTGAGGATAACTGCTGTTGTGATCAACAATGTGATCTTCTTACAGAAATCTTTCTTTCCTATTCTTTCATCTGACACTATGCCAAGTTAAAGGGGTCATATGATGCGATTTCATTTTTCTTTTCTCTTTCGAGTGTTACAAGCTCTTGGTGCATAAAGAAGATCTGTAAAGTTGCAAAGACTAAAGTCTCAAATCCAAAGAGATATTCTTTATAAAAGTTAAGAGTCGACCATGCCTACCTAAGCAAGTCCGCCGGACGCTCCTTCGTCGAATCCGCCGGCCGCGCCGTTCGCAAGCCTGCCGGCCTCCACTCACTCTAGCCCGCCGCCCTCCGCTCACTCTAGGCCTCCGGCCTCTGCTCACTCTAGCCCGCCGTGTGTTTCGTTGTGAAAGCGAAACTACTTTGTTTGGCCT